GATTCGCGCTCCCGCCCCGCAGCCCCCTCCGCGGAGCCGCCGCCCGAGCCCCTCCGAGCTGCTCCGGGTCCCGCCGTGCGCGCTGCAGCCCTTAGGGAGCTCGGGGCACTCTCCCGGGGCGCAGGTGTCTGTTAGTGTCCCCGGGAGCCCGAGGGCATCCCCGCCCTCCCGGGTCCTGCTCTAACTCCCTGCGAGTCCCTTTCCCCCGGGAAGGTTGGTGCAGCTCCTGCTTCTCCGGGACGGGGCTCTCCTGTCCTGGGGACACTCGCCCCGGCCTCAGCCCGGCTCCTCGCGGGGCCCCTCCCCCTCGGAGGCCTTTTGTTCCTTTATTTCTTTTTCCCCCCCGTCTTCCTACCTTGATAGAAGCGCGAACTCTTCTCACTGTAGCGTTCCAGCTGGTCTCTCTTTACATCTCAGGCCGAATTCGTAGATTTTCAGGATGGTTTGAAGGTTAAATAGGTAATTTGGTGGGGACAGGTGATTTGGGGACCCTGCTCTTCTGCCATCTTGCCCCTCCCCCCAAAAATAAAATCTTTAAAATGAATGAATGAATGAGTGACTCTTTTGGGCCACTGTACAATTTTTAACAGCCATGAGGCCTCCAAAAATAGCAGCTTAAAACTCTTGACAATATTAAGTACTGGAAACAAATATGATTTCTGGGTGCCAAATGCACATGTCATGTTTTACACAAAAATGCCTGACTCAGAATCAATGGCTCATCTTAAGTTATTTCATTAGTGATAATGAATGACAGACACACATTTACCAGATAAGTAATAGGAGCCAAGGTATGTCCCTCTGTGGCTGTAAGAGTTATTCTCTGAACAGAGTTAGCTGGTGCATTCTTGATTGGATTTGTGACCTTGATCTTATTAACACCTGCTCTAAGGAAAGATGAAAGGGAAGCATCTTGCCAGCTACATCCTTTTGCTTTTTCGGTAGGTACTGCAAAGATTGCCCGGAGTTAAGGGCCTGGAGATCTGTACTAACCAAACTAAGTCAATGTTTTGGTGCACTTGTCTTTGGTGACTGAGCTAAAGTGGGTTTTTTTCTTGAATATGTGCCAAATTAGTAAAATCATATGACTTTTATGTCTGTCGGTTTTTGGACCATTATAGGATAGTCATCAGAGACATCTGCTGATTATTTTCATTATAAATGTCTTTTCTAAATAACTGACTCCTGGGTTACTTTGGGGTGTCTAAAAGCATAGAATGGAAGCAAAAGAAATAAAGAAATAGGTTAACACATAACTTGAATTAGAAGGAAAATTCCATTTAAGAAATGAGAAATGAGTAGATTACGGAATATTCCTAAAAGTTCCAGACCTATTTTAATGGTGGGAAACTTTTATTTTTACAGTATTTTCCTTTTGATGAATACTCCATAAATACAATTGATGGAGAAGGGATATTTGTAAAAGGCCACAAAAAATTAAAGATGCTTGATGTAACATGGGTAGTTTTAATCTCATACAATGTGTCCTTTTTTTAGGAAATTAAAATTTGATAGGCTATTTACTAACGTGCTGGTTCTATTATTATTTTCCAAATTAGTTTATTGTGCTGCTTGCAGTCATGCTTCTTAATCATCTTAATAATTTAGCTTAGCTTTGTATCTCAAATTTTGTTACTGGAGGTAGCTGCTTCAGATAGTTTGTTTCTGTGATTTGTATTCTGTAATTCTTTATAAAACTCTAAGGATTGTGATCACCACTTATTTTGGTCATCAACAGAGGGTCAGTCCTTTGGACTGGGCACCTTCAGTTATATTGTCTACTCAATATTCCCCACAATGCGATAAAAATAAGCATCTTCCTTTATTTCATATAAGGACGTGAGGCTCAAAGAAGATGTGTTTCTTTCATTTACTTGATAATTGAGGTACTGTATGCCAGGCATATTCCAAGTGCTGGATTATTGGAATGTAAGTTCATGGGTCCAGGAAATCACAAACTGACTGGAGAGTCCAGACTTAAAGCTGTTTGATTCCAAAATGCTTATGTTTTCACATTGAAGTTGGAGCTGTTATTTGAAGATGTTCTGGACTTACTTTGTTTTACTTTATTTTGTCTTCAAGGTAACTCTTACATGAAGAATCCTGTGTAAATTGATCTCTAGTGATTTACTCTTACTTTTATCTGAGAATTTTCACAGGACAATTGAAATAACATAAATGTATATTGCTTTAAACTCCTATTGTATTTGGGGAGTTGCAGCATCTCACATAATAAGAACCAATGGTTAGAAAATATTGGAACAGTAGAAAAAAATTGGTTTCTGGATCTCAGTTACCTAAAGTACAAGTGGGGATGGAGATAGTAATAAAAAGAACAGAGGTCTTAAGCCAGAATTATATCAAACTCAGTGAAAATAATTATGGTTTAGATGGGGAAGGTAAAAGAAAATGATTTGACTTAAGTTTAAAGCACTATACAGACCTGTTCTAAAGTCAGGGATACACTGTTGGTAGGAATGTAAGTTGACCTCACCTTTATGTAGAACAATTTGACAATATTAAGATCCTTAAATATATTGGTGTCCTTTGATGCTATAATTCTATATTTTTTTAAAGATTTTATTTATTTATTTGACAGAGAGGGCACAAGCAAGGAGAGAGGAAGGCAGAGGGAGAGGAAGCAGTAGGCAGCCTGATGCCAGCAGAACTTGATCTCAGGATCCTGGGGTCATGACCTGAGCCAAAGGCAGATGCTTAACCAACTGAGCCACCCAGGTGTCCTGTAGTTCTGTTTCTTCAAATTTATTTTCTTTTTTTTTTTTTTTTTTTTAAATTTTTTTTTTATTTATTTATGATAGTCACAGAGAGAGAGAGAGAGGCAGAGACACAGGCAGAGGGAGAAGCAGGCTCCATGCACCGGGAGCCCGACGTGGGATTCGATCCTGGGTCTCCAGGATCGCGCCCTGGGCCAAAGGCAGGCGCTAAACCGCTGCGCCACCCAGGGATCCCTTCAAATTTGTTTTCTGAAAGGAAATACAAGATGTGCAAAATATGTATTACATATACATATATACACATATGCACACTTGTATGCATACACACTTGCAGTGTTCCTTAAATGTCCAAAGATAGGAAATTGGTTAAATTAGGGTATATATAAGTGGTAGAGCATGAAAAATATTTGAAGATATAGTCATTCTATAGTAAGTGACAAGGCAGGATACAAAACTGTGTGCAGAGAATAACCCCAACTTTAACTTATGTACATCAGAAAAATCAAAGGAAATATCTCAAAATGTTAATGATAGTTATAATAGGTAGCGCATTTATAAGTAATTTTGATTTTCTTGTATACTGTTGTCTGGGTAATAATCTTATGGGTAACTGTATTTTTCTTTTGGAATAAGATGCAAAGTCTTGAAAAGCTATTCTCTTTGACTTCCAAGGCCTTTTTTGGGTCTTGTTTGCCTTTTGGGTTCAGGCTGTATAATTGAAATTGCTTTTAAAAGTCTGATAGGGAATTCCTGAGTGGCTCAGCGTTTTAGTGCCTGCCTGCAGCCTAGGGCATGATCCTGGAGTCCTGGGGTTGAGTTCCATGTCGGGCTTCCTGCATGGAGTCTGCTTCTCCCTCTGCCTCTGCCTCTGTCTCTGCCTCTCTCTCTCTCTCTCTCTCTCTCTCTCTCTCTCTCTCTCTCTCTGTGTCTCTCGTGAATGGACAAATAAAATCTTTATTAAAAAATAAATAAAAGTCTGATAGATAAATGGAGTAACATTCTAACTAAGAGTGTTCTTTTTCATGATAATGTTTTGAGCAGTGGTATATTTTACTTTCAGGTGGTTTGTTTAACTTGCTAGGTTAGAGCAGCATGCTGATGAGGCCCAGTCATGGATTGGTGTTCATGAAGGCCATTTAGCTTTGGTTTCATTTCTAGATATTCTTTTTTTTTTTTTAAGATTTTATTTATTTATTTGAAAAAGAGAGGGAGATAAAGTGAATGAGAGGGAGAGTGAATCTGAAGCCGACTCCATGCTGAGCACAGAGCCAGATGCGGGGCTTGATCCCACCACCTCGAGATCATGAGTTGAGCTGAAATCCAGAGCCACCAGGCACCCCATCATTTCCAGATATTTTAAGTCTGGTTTTAGGAGTTACTGGCAGTGGTTGAGAAATGGTAGTGTATATATGGATTATCCAGTATATATCCATGATCAGAAAAACTGCTCAAAGATCATGGATAACCGAGTATTAAATAGTTTTTACTTTCTCCTTGTATAAGCATAGCCTTTATCTTTTCATTTTTAAATAGTCTGATCTAAATACCTGATGATGATTAAGAAAAGTGTCTGAATATTAAGAATATTACATGAAGGGATGCCTTGTGGTTCAGTGGTTGAGCTTCTGCCTTTGGCTCAGGTCATGATCCCAGGGTCCTGGATCAAGTTCCACATCAGGCTCCTCACAAGGAGCCTGCTTCTCCCTCAGCCTATGTCTCTGCTTCTCTTTCTGTGACTCTTATGAATAAATAAATAAAATCTTTAAAAAGAAAGGATATTATAAGAATAACACCAAGAATAAACTAAGAGAATGTTTTGGGACCAAAAAAATAACAATCTTGAAGACTGCATATGGAAAATTTTTCATGGAATAATAATATTATTTAAGAAAGAAAAATGATACTATAGTAGTAGCTGTAGAAGTGTGACTTTTTTCTGCTTGTTAATCATTAGACTGTTGGTGCATTATGTAAGTCAAGAGCCCTAAATCTTCCTGCTTCCTGATAAATGGCTATATGTGAGCAAATTCTAAAGAGATGATATCTTTAAAAGTAAAATACGTTATTATGGGAATTGATGTTAACAAGTAAAAATCAAAAGCATAATTTGGATAAAAGAATAAGTTATAGTTAAGTGTATGATGCTGTGATGTCATTGAACTGAGATTGTAGAATTTGAAATTATTTCCTATTAAAACGGCTAAGACCTGATGGGTACTACAGTTCTGTATTTATTTACTGTTTGATTTTTCTATTTTCTCACAGGTGATTGGTCTCTTGGATGTTTTTACACCTGCAAGGTCTCTGGAGGAATTCAATGATGTGTGAGTGAATCTTTTGTATTTGCCTTCCTCAGCTGGATAATGAAGATTAGCAGCCCACTTTTATTCCTGCACTATTTTGCAGTATACAGACTTGAAAAAATTCTTTATTCCTACCATCCAACTCTCCTAGGGACTGGGGATGGATACAGAGATGTATATTATGTGTGGTGTAAATCCACATGGGAAGGGTGGCCGCCCAAACCCCTGCATTGTTCAAGGCTCAACTATGTATTAGTATTTTCATCATTTCAGGCACATTGTGAAGATTCAGCGGTGAATCCTTGCAGGAGTTCCATGGAAAGGAGCGTAGGGAGTGTTGATTATGATTTTTGTCCTCAAGTTGCCTGTCCCCATTTTTAAAGAGACCCCTTCACACTTCACATCATTATATTCACATCAAGAAATATAGCCACGCCCTGGTTCCATATAAATTCATCTCTCTCTTTTGTCCTAGTTATGTGTGGAAATGGTACTAGACCTGCATGCTCTTCCTTGAAGTAATAGATTTCTGTTTTGAGACAAAGGGCAGGTCTCATGTATTAAGAAAGCTACTTACATAGTGCTAGTTCTCCCAGTGCTAACTGAGGGTCTTAGGAACCAGTAGTGGAGGTTTGGGAAAATGAAACAGGAGAGAAAGCAGCTATGAGGATGTTTATTTAGTAGGTAACCATTGTGGGTGACTGTGCTGAAAACTACCAGGATCTTGTAGGAAACAGTGTGAATGCACCTCAGATAGGGAGCATTTATCCCTTGACCCTGACCCCACTGGCAAGGGTTTTGCTCCAACAGGCATTAATGCCATCTCATGCCCAGGTTGCACATGTGTGAGATGTGTGAGTACAAGATAGATTCCAGCAGATGCTCTCATGCATGTAGGAGCCATCACTGTAGCTTTCCCAGTATCTGAATTAGCAGACCTCCCTCCCATCAGATATACTATACCATAACAGAGAAGGAATAGCTTAAATTCAGAGTTGTACATTGACATTTTGGAATTCCTACCTGGAAAGGGTTACTGTTGTGAAACCAAAACAGAGTTGCAGATCATGACTGCTTCTTTCTTTCTTTTTCTTTTATTTTTTAAAGATTTTATTTATTTATTCATGAGAGACACAGAGAGAGAGGCAGAGACACAGGCAGAGGGAGAAGCAGCCTCCCTTCGGGGAGCTGGTTGTGGGACTTAATCCTGGGATTCCAGAATCATGCCCTGAGCTAAAGGCAGATGCTCAACCACTGACCCAGGCATCCCATAGCTGCTTCTTTCTTAACCTCTACCCCCTCCCCACTGTTGTCCCCAGTCCTGAACTTAACTGGCTTCTCCCTACCCTTATCCTGTGTCCAGTTCTCCTACCTTTATTTGTCCCAGGCTGAGTGCAAGCATCATTTGCTCTTTTCACAGAGAACAAGCTGGATATGTTTGAGCTTGTGTGTTTCGTCTAATGAAAAGGTGAAAGAAAAAAGATGAAAAGAAGTGTAGAATGTGAAATGTAAAAAGAAGCAGGAAAGGTAGCAAATTTTTTTCCTCGTCTTGTGAACTTAGTTGGAAGATAATATGGCTGAGAGTAGAAGATGAAAGTGAAGAATCTGGCCCAAGTATGAGAATTTCTATCCACATTAACCTTGATCCTGCTAATGAAAATTTAAGAAACAAGTAAAGGGAAAAATAGGTAATAACCAAGAACATAGAGCTCTGCTCGGCCCTGAAATATAGAGGCTTCCAAAGATTATCAGATGCTACCCAGCCAGGGCACATGGTTGCAAATTGTTGAGCCCTGCTGCAGGCTATATTTGGAAAAGAATATTGCAGAATAATGTTTTTTTTTCCTTTAAAATTAATTTTTAGGGACGCCTGGGTTGATATTTTGGAATTCCTACCTGGAAAGGGTTACTGTTGTGAAAAACAAAACAGAATTGCAGATCATGACTGCTTCTTTTCTTTTCTTTTCTTTTCTTTTCTTTTCTTTTCTTTTCTTTTGATTTTATTTATTTCTTCATGAGAGACAGAGAGAGAGGCAGAGACACAGGCAGAGGGAGAAGCAGCCTCCCTGGGTTGAGCATCTGCCTTTGGCTCAGGGCGTGATCCTGGAGTCTCAGGATTGAGTCCCTCATCGGGCTCCCTGCATGGACCCTGCTTCTCTCTCTGCCTGTGTCTCTGCCTCTCTCTCTCTCATGAATGTGTCTGCCTCTCTCTCTCATTCTGTGTCTCTCATGAATAAATAAAATCTTTAAAAAAAAGAAAATTATTTTTTTAGAGCATCTTTAGCTTTACAACAGAATTTAGAGGGAATGCAGATTTCCTGTATACGCCCCTGCCCCCCACATGCATAGACTCCCCCCTTGTCAACATCACTCCTCAGAATGGTTTGTTTGTTCTTTTCTTTTCTTTCTTTCTTTCTTTCTTTCTTTCTTTCTTTCTTTCTTTCTTCTTTCCTTCCTTCCTTCCTTCCTTCCTTCCTTCCTTCCTTCCTTCCTTCTTCTTTCCTTCTTTCTTTTTCTTTCTTTCTTTCATGATATGTCATGTGGCTCACCTTAGTGCTGTAATTCTATGGATTTGGACAAACATGTAATGACATGTTAACATTTAATATTGTACAGTGTATTTTCACTGCCCTAAGAATGATGGGTTTTGGTATTTTCCCTAGATGTGGAAGAAAAGCTGAAGCTGAAGTAATGTATTCGTGAATACCTCTGGAAAACATTTAAATCAAGTCTGAGCTATACTCTAAAATTTTGGGTCTCATGAGGATGGATTTATTTAACAAAGGAGTTGGTGAACTGCCAACCTGGGAAAATGCTGTATTTTAGTTTAATCAGGCATTCTGGAACTGGATTATGAACCTGTGTTTTTTTTTTTTCCATGTGAAAAGATCTTATTTAAGGCTAGTGTCTATTTGAAAGGTGAAGTTTTATCCATTGTTGTGCCTTTGGGTCCTTTATCCATTTGAAGGCCCACTGACTACAAGCATACTCACTGAACTAAAGTCGCATTTATTTCTTCATCCACTCAGCAGATATTGTCGCTGCGGAGTAGGAATCTGTTCTTTCTACTTAACTGTACCTGGGTTTTGGCCATTTGTTTATTTATTTCCAACTTTATTTTATTTATTTATTTTTTTAAATTTTATTTTATTTATGATAGTCACACAGAGAGAGAGAGAGAGAGAGGCAGAGACATAGGCAGAGGGAGAAGCAGGCTCCATGCACCGGGAGCCCGATGTGGGATTCGATCCCGGGTCTCCAGGATCGCGCCCTGGGCGAAAGGCAGGCGCCAAACCGCTGCCACCCAGGGATCCCTATTTCCAACTTTATTGATATAGTTATATAGAACATTGTGTAAGTTGGGTTCTGATTATTCACAAAACAAGAACTGAGTTCATCTCTTGGGAGCAAATCTCAGTACCACTTGTTGAATGTTTGCTGAGCAAAGTGTTAGAAAAAGCCTCCAGATAATGGGAAACACCACTCTTTCCCCTTAATGAAATCAAAATCTTACTGGGGAAGGAAGTAAATTCAAAACGCTTTTGTAACTGAGTTACCAATTGGGTGTAAGACCTTGGGCAAGCCACTTTGCCTCTCTGGACTCCAGTGGTTCTCTAATCAAGCCTCATAGGCAAATGATGAAAATTGGGGTGGTAGATTTCTGAAGTGATTTTAATACTGAAGAACCTCTGAAGATAAAATGATGAACCTAAGTTTGCCTTTGGAAAATGTTTCATTGTTTGTTTTTCTATGATGTTTGTATTACTGAAAAAAAAAATAGTACTTGTCCAGGACTGTGGTTATTTCAGTGTTTTCCAAAGTCATTTCAGACTTTGCATAAGAGACCAAACATCTTCACTTACAGTTGTAAGGTTTGGTAATTTAAATAACTTTTGGGCCAGATAAATAACATAAATGAGGCTCAGTATTCTACAACTGGGAGTGGGAGGATCTGTGGTAAAACAGAATACTCGTACTTCCTTAAAGCAATCAAATTCACATTAAAACAAAACAACCAACCAAACAAAAACCCCAGTATTCTGGCCAAATCCAACATGCTGAAGGCTAGAGTGGTTCTACAGGTTAGCAGGTCTAGAGCCGGCTATAATTTTGAACATGAATTTTTCGTACTAATTAATAAAATCTCTAGTTACTTTTCATATTAACAGTCAGTTTTTTTTTTAATTTTTATTTATTTATGATAGTCACAGAAAGAGGGAGAGAGGCAGAGACATAGGCAGAGGGAGAAGCAGGCTCCATGCACCGGGAGCCTGATGTGGGATTCGATCCTGGGTCTCCAGGATCGCGCCCTGGGCCAAAGGCAGGCGCCAAACTGCTGCGCCACCCAGGGATCCCTAACAGTCAGCTTTTAATCATGTGTTATGTGTATTTGTGCCTTTAGGTTTCAGTTAGCACTTTTATCATACAATTAAAATTTTTACTGAATTTTTAACCTCTTGGTTAATAAGCATTGTGCATACTTCATTTGTAAGACTCTTACTTTTGAGAGAAGAATGATAGTGAGTTTTGGTCATTAAGAACAATGTGCAGTTACTGACTCTAACAGTGATACTCTTTGGAAAATGTGGAATTAAAAGATGAGTATATCAAGTTGTTCTTGACTGCCATATGATGTGGTTGCACAGATGGCAAAATTTTATAGAGATATATCTAGACCTTTTAAATGATTGGAAATCATTGGGACATTCCTATTGGTTTCTTGATGGTATTGACAGGAAGTGGCATATACATATGCACACTCATGCTGTAAATATTTAGTTACCAATAGAAGTCCAAAAATTTTAAATGGCCAGTATTAGAACCTAACCCCTATTGTAAGCTGCACCTTTGTGGAACAGTATTGCCTTTTCTTAGTTATAGTGGTTCTCTGATCAAGCTTAGGTAGTGAAGAGTTTTTCGGCTTGGAGCTATTTCCTCAAATTTCAGGAAAACTGAATTCTCATGGTAAGCAGAAAGCAGTCTCTATTTACCCCTTTTTCCTTTTTTTTTTTTTTTTTAAC